TGCTTTAACTCTTGTCTGGAACTAAAATTTTCAGTCGCGCAAGAATACTACATACAGCCTAAAGGAGCTCCTATGGGTTCATTCATTTTGGGCACTCTAGCTGAGGTCACACTGTAAATTGTAGAGGCTACCCACAATTTGTGGGTATGCTTTGTAGACGACATGTTTGCTATCAGGGAAAGGAATCAACTGGAAACGTTGTCCAGTGTTATTAGCCCGACACTGCAAGGAAGCCGACAGCAGAAACTAGTTTCTTGGTGTCCTCTTTCAGCATAAGCCTGACTGGACATTCTACACACCAGTGTACTATAAAAACGTTTAAAATAAGTTTTATTTGTAAAGCACATCTTCGCTGCCATCAAAATCCTGGAAGGCTGGACTCTGCCTTTATTACGAGAGCAAGATTCTACCACGCACAACCGAAGTGCTGTGACGCAATACATAGACGCACTGTTCTGAGGACGAAAACCAGAGAGACAGGAGCTAGAGGGCGATTGAAAAACCATGCATTCCATTTGCACGTATCAACCACCATCTGCTACCCAACTTCCTACGTACCAGGCTTTGGTGGTGGGTCTATCGCGGGGGGTTAAGTAAGTTAAACCCTAACAGCTGCAATCTTCAGGCCCGGTTCCTTAGGGGAAGCGAAAAGGTGAGATGCCAAGTGGAAAAAACAGTTTATTCCACAGAGAAGAGATGGTAAATAGGCAGGAATAAGTGCCCTGTCGGGCCGCACGTCCATCCGTTAGGGCGGCTGGGTCTGGGGTGCTGCTCTGAGGACATTCACCGCATTGAGGTCCTGGTGAGTTGGTCTTGAGAGCCAATGAGCAGATAGATTGAGGCCTGGCTACTGTGAATTGAAGTCAGACTAGTGTGAGGGTTCTCGCGTAGTCACCAGCCATCCAATAGGTAGGTCGAGGCTTGTCGTCACGAGGGTCTGCGCGGACTTATGCCACTACAGGTCCACCTTGGAAATGAGTCATTGTGGTCTAACTGACAGCCCAGATAGGATCAATTTGTTCCCTCAATTGGCAAACTTCGAGATCACGAACGTTGGTGTCTACTGCTGTTTATACAGTGTGTTTGCTTGTTTTGGGTGGAGCTGCTGTGAAGCAGGATGCATCCTTATGACTGTTGTTCTTCCGTACTTGTCATTTGACCAAATTAAACGGAAAAGGTATGAGTTTGGATGCACCATCTGACGCGGTTGAAGCTTCCGCGAGCATTAACATACGGAAACCACTAATAAACCTCTTATATACGGAAACCGTGATAGGAATTGCCACAAACACCGCAGTAAGAGAGGCTCATTGAGAATTAAGACTACTAGTCGCATTCCAGGACACGAAGGATGTTCGATCTTCCGGCAAAGTTCCAAGGACGAAATAGAAACAATGGTATACAAGAACGGAAAGAACACCATACAGCTTTTTAATTTCACAGGAACTATCCAGTGGCTTACAAAAGAATATGTATGAAGGCACTCTACACACGAATCCAGACTCGCTGCACGAAAGGACCAATATCTCCGCGGTCATTTTATGTTGAACGGCCAGATACAGCTATTCATAGGTCGTTTCCTACGTGTTCGCTCCCGGAGGGACCAACCAGAACGTTCATCAACGAGTGTCAATATCTCCCGCCCTAAACCGGCAAGACAACGAGGTCGTGCCTTAATGGTTAGAGCGTTAGGCTCTGATCAAAAAGGTCGCGAGTTCGAACCTCGGGTGGTGCAGCACTTGAGGTCAGATAGGAGTTGCTGGCGACGGCTAATAAGTTAGAATTGGCCATTCCAGTCTTCCTTGCCTTTGCTGGCAATACTATCTGCCTATAAGCACTTATTATTTGGCGTGCGCTGCCATACACCAGGACGTGTAAGAGGCGTCCGAGCAAAATTGCATTCCGTGCCTAAACTGTTCTTTTATCTACACGGGTCAGACTGGAGGCATGTTCGGTTTGCACATACACGAGGCTAAGCTGGCTGTAAGAATGAATGATTGACTATTACAAGAGTCTGCCAACATCTATACAGCGGGCCACACGTTTGTGTTCGCGGCAATAAGGATAATTGCCAATGCCAGAAGCAAGACATTCCGGGAATTGACTGAAGCCTGGGCCTGCGATGAGAACTAACTCAATCGGGATATCGATCTGGCACCGGCATACAGAACCCTGCGCATTCACCTCTGGATTGACGTTACTGATTTTTGATTGGTACCTGCCCCTATAACTATTGCTTGTTTTGTTGCCACTTTCATCTCCGAAGATAGACCCTAGTAATATTTCGAAAACTCAGACGAATAGAGAAATAATTCCGGCGACCGAACAGCTCTCATCTTGCCCTACCCAGAGCCTTTAGGGTCTGAACCTACTGTCAAAAAGAAATCCAGCTACCTCAGCTGCCTGCAGATTTTCAAGTCTTGAAGTTAAGCGCTTCATTATAACTGCATCCGCATGTACTTCATTATAATGAGAAATGTACCAAATTTTCGTAATAAAGAGTATCGAAATAGCAACATCAATCTTTTTCTCTGTTTCCTCGCTCATGCGCAGTAAACCTATTTGAATTTGCCAGCCATTAATTTTGAGAGTCATTGAAGTGAATTACATGACGGCAAGTCACCGTCTATGGCGTATCACACGCAATTAGAACAGGAGTTAGGAACTCCTGAGGACTCAGTGTAGTCGAATTAATTTGTACCCTGAGGTCGTGTGACTGGAATACCCAAACAGCGGCGGGCGCCTCAGTTAACGCATAGGCTAATCTCAAACAGAAGCACCAGTTTTTGCCTCCTCTCGTCATCGTATGCGATACTTATTTTAATTCAGAAGAAAACTCCATTGTGGTCGTTTTTACTCGGTAATAAAAGACGCTAGCCCACCAATGCGAAGACACCAGCAAATTGCCTGTGTGCATGCTCTTGAGTTCACAAAAATTAGCCTATTGGATGACGCCCTGACCAAGAGGTAGGATTTCGGAACCCATCGTTCAGAGCGAAAAAACTGGGTAGGCTCTCGGTAAGTAGTTATAATCGCCTACAGATAAGTTGCGACGACTTAACGAAAGAAAAGGGTTCCACAGTTCATACGTATCGCTTTTCCAACAAGAGAGGATGTTTCTAAGTGGTCGCTGTTGCGCCCTCTGGAAATGGTCCACTTTTTCGGACTACGGATTCGTCATCCAACAGAAAGCAGACACCTTTTTCATCTTGCTCATTGAAAAAGACTCACCTGCAGCCTTTGGGCGCCTCCTTCGCGGAGATATTATCCTTGCTGTGAATGGTAGGCCCACCGGTATTGTTTAACTTGGACGTATGCCTGAACACACCCCTGCCTCCTATTTCAGAAAGCCACATCTATAATGAGGTCGCTGCTTGGATAGCTGCAGACAAAGAGAAGGTCGAGTTGTTAGTGTGTCAGCCCGTGGAGAAGGAATATTTTGACAAATTCAAAATCATCCTTGGATCGACCTCATCATACCTTAAGTTCTTCGTTGCTCCCGCGTATAAGGCTAGTGAGTCCATTTTAAAATAATTAATTAAAATATGCACTACCGGAACCGACCAAAGCCACAGTGTAGAACGCAAATACTTTTAACCAGACGTAAGAAAAATGAAAGTTAGATTTGGCAGTCAAATCAAGATACTTTTGTCTCGTTTAGGTTTTAGAGTATTTCCGACCGATCCATGTTCTTTCCGAATTGCGCAACTTGTCATATTTGGCCAGGGTTCTAGTAGGAGATGCCAAGCCTGTTTGCCTGTTTGTTTTGATCGGATTTATTGCATTCATTTAATGGAAAGTGACAAAATGCTTCTCCTTATTTTCAGCTGCTAGAAATGTAAGTCTAGGTATTCGCCTCATTTCTTTAAATTATGCGGTGTGTGCTCATTTTTACGTTTCTAAAATGATTTTCTCGGCAATTCAAGCCCTCTTAAATCGCCAATTTGTATTCTACCCGCATTGATGACTAAACTAGACTTTAAAAGAAGACAGTAGATTTTGTATAAATGTAACAAAATTGGATTTAATAATCGATGGCTACTTACTTGGACACTATGCTAACAAAACCCGCAGTTTTAGTCTTAAAAAACAATCATTCAGACCTACCGGGATAGCTCAACAAACTAACACATGCAAGAATTACCTCTTTGTTGGAGTTGCACTACGCAGAGGGTATGTTGACTCCCAAACCACTGAAATCCTAGAAGAGAGTAAAGATCTAGATTAGTAGATGTTCCTACATGCAGGAAGCCTGGTGCATATGGATGGAAACCAGGTTTTGCGTGTCCGACTGTTTGACTTTATGAATTATTATGCCCGAATTCAACTCCAATCTTCCTGAATCTGCGCTGCCACCAAAACAATGTGGCTTGAGATAGGGTGTGTGCGTAAATGCAGAGCAAGTCACTGCTGCTAAAGTCACCTCGTAGGGCAGCGTTGGAATTCGTCGCTAGTGATGGTCGAACAGACATGGAAGTAAATATTCTGGCTGATCCTGTTGGGATATTAGCCGGACTAAACGCTAGCAACGTTTGGCGGCTTTCCTAAGACGTCGAGCCTAGCCACATGTCTTTGTTGGTCATCCCTGACACACAAATCAGGTGATGACTGTCCACGCGGGATGACCTTAGACCGCACGCACGCACGCACGCACGCACGCACAGGAGCCTACGCAAGGCACAACTGTTCGCTGTTTCCCGAGGGTCAATTTGTCGCGTGACGTTATCCCAGTTCGGCCAAACAGGCCACAGGAGAACGCGCAGACAATGTCTTATAAGCCACTGCCACCTCTGACAGGGAAAGTTGCAGCCACACCGAACAGCGGACGCCAGTCCGCTCCCAATGTCGGGGCTTGCCCCCGAGGCTGGACAAAGAGCGCGCTGGAGATCCAAGCAGTGGCAACAGCTACCCGAGACAGCTCCTCCGGGTTTTGTACACAATAACCCCTCCTCCGGGTGCATTCAGAACTATGCCCTTCTTATTGTGTTCTTCCTTGGGGATTTCAACAGGGCGTAGTTCGACGGTGACACACGTCAGATTTCATGGTTATAACACTAGCTACGCTGAACTCGTCGTTGTAACAGATCCAACTTCCGAACAATAATAATCTTAAAGCGATCTAACTCGATCTGAGAGAGTGATTTATTGACCAAGCTATAGAATTTAGCATTCCCGATCGTAAATAACAGGATAAGAGGCTGGACGTTGAAGGTAACATTCGATGAACTAGCCATCCGGGTTAGAATTGACATTATCAAAAGTTGAGTTTGAGTTGCAGTTGACTGAGGACAATGGCTATTTCAGTATCAGTCGTATTTCTCCTTACCCCATTGAGTGGAATAGCAAATAAAACACATAGTTTTGCTACACGATATCAACTTCCTATTGCATTTCTTACCCAAAAGACAACTCAACCAAATAGTGCACCACCATTTTCCTTCACCCGTACTATTAAATATTAGGTTCTTCAAAATGCTTTTACTTTCTTCGCACGTGAGTATCCGAATACAGAATGCCTAACAGCAACATAAATTTTAATATTTTAATGTGAAAAAAAGCTTAGTTCGTAAAGATGCCTTCACAACTGTGTCGCTTCCAAACGTGAATGGCACCAAGCTACCAGCAGTGTGTAATTCCAACTACTAAGGGTCCGTTTGTAAAATAAAATCTTGAATAATTTTTGACGAAATTACTTGTAGTATAATTCAACAACTGATGGAGATTATGGTTTAGTGCAATTTTTAGCGAATTATTGGCAGATTTGTCGGAACAAAAATCCTCTATATGCAAACTTATTTAAGCTCTTGTACGGAGATAAGTTATATTCTCTGTTTGCGCTCCATTGTAAAACACATCAAAATCCGCACCTAATAGCGAAAATTACAGGCAAGAGCAGCTACTATTTTAAGATTAACGGTTTGACCAAGGCGCCGATTGGCGATTGGTCAATCGATTAGCCACTGGGTTCGTTGGCATAGAATATACAATTTAAGGCTAAGTGTCCATGAGAACATAACCAACAAAGATCAGGGAAACTGAAATGCTCATTTCTGGCTTATTCACCATCATAAGCCAGCCATGCCCAATCCCAAGTGCCGAGCCACCCGAGGTTCGAGCCAGTGACCGGCTGACTAGAAGTTTATGGATTACCTCAGCTAATGAATGACACAAAAACGTGTGTTTTATAAAATACGTGCATAAAATATTCTTCCTTGCCATCATTTTGTGTTAACCTACACATTCTTCCATTTTTTCTTGGAATAAAGTCCGTCTTCCAGCCTTTCAAAAGTTTTTTTTCAACTCGGAATGACTTTTAGTCGACCTGTTGTTGTTCTCACGCATGGAGATTTCAGTCTACAAACTGTAGCCTACTCAATTCTCTAAGTTATCGAGGAGGGGGGGGTGGGGAGTAGAAGTTTACCACGGATACGAATCAGATCATATGAACAGCTTTAATAAACTGGCCAATATGATCTTTTTTAAGCAGACATTGAATGATCTTAAACAAATCTCATAATTCGAGACGTTTTAAAACGAAATTTATTTGCACGGTCCTAGTACTTAGCACTCCCAGATGGTGGTTTAAGCACTCCATAAAGTGATTTGAAGCGTGAGACCTGCGTAATAAAAACAATTCCTTATAGTCTAGCTGATCCAACTGTGAAAAAAACTCGCGGCGTCGGCGGGAGTCAAACCTGCCCAGCAGGGAAGGCTTTTGCGTAGCCAACGCTCTACCGATTGAGCTACAACGCACGCCGTGAATTTAGTCCGCCCAACTTACATAACCTGCCAACGTACAAATCTGCCCAACCCCCCTAACATTTTTTTGTTATCTAAAAATTATCCCCCATGTTTCAACTGCATTTTGTCTAGCCCAAATACTGGAACCATCCCCAAATCAAGGACATTGAACTGGACCTGATTCGAACGGACATGTCAACGGTATCTTACCTTTCTTCGAGGTATTGCTATGGTATGCAGAACAGACACAGTGCGGTTAAAAGGACAAGACTGTCTACTCTATTCTAACTACATGCACTACTAATTGCATATATAATGGATAAGACAACAGACTGAACAGTGTTGTACAATTTTTTATACATTTGACACGAAAACATTAGAAGCGGGGTAAAAATGAAGGAATTTCACTGACATCGTGGTTTCACGAAATAGTCATGCCAGTTCTCAATATGCAAAACAGCGGAGTGGAAAGCGTTTGCCTCCTCTGTGAAAGAATTTCATGCTTGGATAACGAAAAACAAGCGCGTTCCAGGAATCAATTTGAAGGAAGAAGGCATGATGGCTGGGACAAGACATTTACTAGGCTGATGTTTTGGATTTTTCAGTTGAAACTATCCTCACGGGGTGTTACCGAAAAGGGTAATAAAAGCACAAGTTGTGTGGTTTTTATAAAACTCAGGGAGCATGCTGCTACGTGACTACAATAATTAATGGTAGTCGTGTTCACCATTGGGAGTCGACATTGATGCAATGATTGCTCGTCGGTGCGTCATCGAGGCGTTAATGGCCGTTATGTCATTACCGTTGTTGATTCATGGCATGTCGATTACTCGGACATTAGGCTCGCTGTAACTGTCACCCGTGGCCCTTGTGGGACTAATCGTTTTGATAAGGAAGTAATTCGTACATCGCCGGAGCAGTTTATTTTACATTATTAACTAACTATTTTGTTGTAGTTTTCGCGTGCACCTTTTCACCCTTCACCAGTTCACCGCAGTCTTCAAACGGGAACATTTAGAGTCCTGCGGTTATTTGAATTTCATTAGTTTTAATTCAGTTTCCGTTTCTTGTTTATTTTAACCAGTTTCGATTACATTTTGTGTAATTTTGGTTAAGCTGTTTGAGTATTATTTAGTTTAAGTTTGGTTTTAGTTTAGTTGACATTCGTTTCTAGTTTATTCACTTTAGTCTATTATAGTTTACCTTAGTTTAGTAAGTAAGTTTAGTTTAAGTTTGGTTTTTATTTTATTAGCAATATGCGGTTTCTTTCCGGCTTAAGAATGCGGAAAAAGCTAATCTTCCAAGAAATAACTTTAATTTTGAAGGTTCGCAGTTTTCTCCGCAGTTCCGCAATCTGCGCAATTTTTGTTCCCTGTTTTGATTATCGCGCGCAAAACATTACGTTACTTAAATGGTTATTCCAATTATTTTTTACTTTCATACGTTCTACTTTTTATTTATTTTATCTTTCCTTGACCCACCCATTTAACCCCCATTACCACCGGTCCCGTGTTACAGATACCTGAGGTTTTTGTAACTGTGTTGATTTTTGAACTGAATCCTTACCATACTTGTGCCCAGACACAGTCACGGCAGATTATATGGAGGCGGGAATTCCTTTAACTTGTTAATTGAAAGCGGTTTGGGGGAACCATCATCGAAGCAGATCGCGGCTCACGCGGTGGTCCCTCTTTGCGAGAATTTCGGCCATGATAAAACTTTACTACCCTTATCTACAATACTTTCTGATGGAGTTCGAATGAGAATCCAAAATGTCAGGCCACTAAACTTCT